ATTTTGTAAACGTTAACTTCCGTCACACATCCACTAATCGCCTCGACCGTCTCACTACTGGCCGGCTCCCTCCCTCCACGTCTGGCTGTCCCTGGTCTAAAGTTCATCCACATCTCCACCACACACTGAACCATCTCCAGTACGAACATACGCTCTTGTGGTGTTGAAGCACATGATATAAAGCGTCACTTGCGAACCTTAGTAATAACACTTAATCGGATGGCTGGCGTGGCCATATTTGTTTTGCTTAATTTGACACCATAAGAAAGTACTGATACCTTCTAAAGTGACAACTGAGAGCTCGACTCCCAGACACTGAACCACCCGATCGAAACTTCTATCTAACCGACGCTCTTGTAACGATAAGGACCGGATATTACATGTAAATGCTCACTAACAGAAAAACTGAGTGGCTTCTGCAGGAAATAATGGGAAACGTTTTTTATTCAGCTGATCAACAAAAATCACAGATGGTTCAGAGAAATGTGGCTCCAAGCTCGACTCCTTCAGCGCTTCGTTTGTGGTGACCAGCCATTCAGAACTCATGATACAAACGACAGGTTCCCATAGGTAGAGGTTCTGCATGATGAATACATTCTGAATAAATTACACGTAATGTCATGTAGATAATCAGAATTTATTGCATATGCCAAACAAAGATTTTTATTTGGTATATTACGATATATTTATTTTTATGAGAAAATCTGCTAAATGGGAACCGAAATAACCACTATTTTGAACCAACGGACACTGGTGGTAGTGAAGGCGGGCGGGGGAGAGGGCTCAGGGGTGGTGGTGTGTGTGGTAATGTGTGGTGTGTGTGATGATAGATGGTGATGATGATGATGGCGTATATGTGATGACGACGATGATGATGAATGATGATAAATAATGAATGATGATGATAATGATGGTGATGATGAATAATGATGAAGATTGATGCTGCTGAATGATCCCCAGTTATTATAAGACAATTCATCATCACTACAGACACACTTGGTTTTATTTACAGGGGTGAGGTTAGGTTAGGTTTCATTTCACCCCACATTATGGCTTCGTCCCCTCAGAGTTCCTCATTTAATATTTATGAATGTTCAGTCATACTAATTCCCTCAGTGGCAAACCTCTGGATGAAAAGCTAAATATAAAATGATAATACACGCGTAGTTGCTAGTGGCGTGGTTGCTAGTGGCGTGCTTACTAGGGGCGTATCCAAAGGCTGAGTATTTTTGTTTACCATACATAAGAACACCTGATATCGGGACACAAGCCATCTGGGTGGTTAGTTTATCCAATGTTGGTGCAGGCGAAAACCGGAAATCGTGCTGCGTCAGACATACATTTAAACCAGAGGCGATTCGAACCCTTGACTTGTGAGAGAGAAATACACACGTTACGATATACAACCCAAGATCCAAGTGAACCCCTGCTGTTGGTTCGTCTCCTCCCTGGCTGGATTTTCAACCTGAAGTAATTGCCCTCGGTGGACCGCTCCCGAAATCCCACGTGAGCCCTGTATCTCCAGGATCGCCCACTGGTCCCCATGTAGGGTCATCCTCTACACTGATGATTCTGTTGACCCCGCTACAGGTGGGGCCGGGGCTGGTGTCTCCATTTCCCGACGCGTCCTGATGCCCCTGAGCCTATCAAACTGTCTCTCAGTTTCTGACGGGTCATCCTCCACTCAGGCGGAACTAATAGCCCTCCTTGCTGCCTTTCTCGCTGAGGAAGAAGCAAATGGTTTCTGCCCCTTGCTTGTCTGCTGCGATTTCAGGTCTGCTCTCGACGGGATCGCATTTGGATCAGGGGAAAATAAGAACCTCATCCTCCAAATACGAGGGTTAACATCCACACTTCAGGATGCAGGCCGTCCTGTGACATTCCTATGGATACCCAGTCATGTCGGTATCTTGGGGAATGAGGCAGCAGATGGCCTTGCCAAGACTGGCTGCAACAAGGCCACACCTGGCTACGTTGTTCCTCCAACACTTTTACAGCTTAGGACCCAAATTCGCCGCAAACAGAGAGAAGCTCGGGAAGCAGCCATCCCCCTGGACTCCCCGCCCACCTGGTACGATGTCCTCCGTAAACTTCCTGACCTCTCGTATGTCTATGGGAAAGGGTCGCGGAAAAGGGACGTGATTGCTGCCCGTATCATCATTGGGTATGACTTTGCTTGGGAGATTGGTATCCCCGCATCCCCTGAGCAACGCTCTTGTGCATTATGCAGAAGACCCGACAGCCACACCCTTATCCACTACCTCAGATGTCCCCACACACAACGCTTCCGTGACGCCTGCTGGACCACCACTCCACGACCCCCTGACGGAGACACGATGATCCTCCCCATACTGGCCAGATATTATGTAAATAACATTGATTATGTGTTAGAGAAATATCCTTCCTTCCTTATGCTTTAGTAAGCCTCTTTATTATATTTATACTGTATATACTGTACTTGTGACACTTGCCAGATGCTTCTGGTGTTATTGTACAGGGGTACCTAGTGACAGCACTAGGATCCCGCTTCCTCTATCAAGGAATAAACAACTGAAATTGAATTGAATTGATCCAAGTGACGCGCCAACCCCAGAAAGATGCTGCCGCCGCCCCTCCCGCACTAGATGTAGCCCCCACATGTGCAACATCTGTGGACGGCCCTGCCGGTCCCGTATCGGCCTCTTTAGTCACCTCCAAACTCACCAACGAAGGTGACATCCCTAATAACTCATATCATTGTATCGTAGCTGGATGATCGTCATACTCGATTCCGAGTGACAGCAAAGTATTAGTAGTAGTACGCACGTCAAAACCTAAATTGTTGAAGCGCAGGAATACATTATAAACACGACACATCAATGCAACACGTGATCCCCATTGCCTTATATAACTGAGTTTCTCTGTCGTCTTCCATCAATAACATAAGGTAAAAAACGCCTTGGTCACTATACAGATCCGGGTCACTGAGGCTCGGCTACGGTAGGATGAGGCGGACGGTTCAGCTCGCTAGATTCTGATATTTTACTCATTCCTAGATTTGGTTATGGCTTATGGTTATTCAATACATCACCAACATTTGTTTACTAAATCATTGTTGTACCTTACATAATTTTATAGTTTGTCTACATCAGTATATATATCTGAAAAACATATACTTAGTTTGATACAATAATGGTATTAGTTTCTCTATGATTCTTTAGGCTTGCAATAAATACATAGCATGTTCGTTACCGCGAATTGATTAAAAAATGACGATGTTTGATAAAATATTAACAACGTTGGAATATCGGTAAGTAATCTGCAAGTAAAATGCCAGTGTGACTCAACCTGGTACTGACTACATATCCTGGGAAGCCCGTCGTCCAGTTTAAACCACCTTGTAGAGGGAAGGTATTGCTGTCTCTAACTTGGTGCAATTAATGTTTGTTAAGAGCGCGCAGCCGATAGTTTGGTTAGGTCAAGTTAGGTTAGTGAAGGTTAAATTAGGTTAGATTAAATTTGGTTATTGTACTGTAGGTTAGGTTAAGTTATCGTAGTAGGCTAGGTTAGGTTAGGTTAGATTTTAGTCACGGTAGGGCTAGGTTAGGTAAGGTTAGGTTACATTAGGTTGAGATAAGTTTAATTTCGGTAAGATTCGATTTAGGTTAAGTTAGGTTAGATTTAAGTTGACGGTACAGTAACATTCAGTGCAGTATCGATATATCATTAGAGTGCCTGATTTCACACACACACACACACACACACACACACACACACACACACACACACACACACACACACACACACACACACACACACACACACACACACACACACACACACACACACACACACACACACACACACACACACACCTGATATAACCCATCAAGACAAAGGCACAATTATAACGAGCATTACTTCTAGTCTAACAAAGGGTGATTGTAACTAGTTGTGTTAAGTCAAGTAATCCTGTCTACTAGTCACCTTGTACTTACCTGTGTTCCCACCAGCTGGTACCTTGTAACTCTTGTAGGTAATTTGTAGTTATTTCACAGTTCTTAATGTTCACACAAACACAATCTGGTATTTCTACTTTATTACCAAAATGTAACACACTTTATTGTTATTAATGACGATTTAACCGATAAGCAACTGTCCTTTTTACGGGAGAATAATATAAGAGGCGATTACAGAGCTTATTAACACGTCAGATGTGGAATGCAGAAGTTAAGTTCACTATGGGCTGGGCTGTGTAAAGTAGAGGTGTGAAGACTGTGGGTAGGATGTGCCAAGGTGTATTTAGTTGCTACATATCTAGTTAATTCAGCTTGTGTGAGTTATATAATTAATACATGTAAATACCTCACATTTATATAAGCACTACTGTATATATGTTAACAGAGGGTAATACATGATCAACCATTAACTACAGCTGCGTTAGTGATGCTCCTGGTGGTGAATGAGACACATTGGTAAAGACAAACACCATCACCATCAGTGAGTCAGGTCAGGGTCAGGGGGTATTGTACTGAGTAAAAACAGCCTAAAGTTATAACTTGTAACATTATGTCTTCCTGTGTGCAACATCAAGGAAGAGGCACCCTTTGATCTCACAGTTACACCCGTATAAACATTGAGATACAGTCGTATTAGAACTTAACCTAACTTAACCTAACAGTAGTAGTAGTGTTCACAACCTCTGGTGGGATGGGACCAAGTGCAAGATGTTTCTACGCCAGACTCGCGGAGGTGATCTCCGAACAGAAGTAGCAGCCCAGAAGTTATGTTACAGCCTGGATGAGATGTCGACTGTCTTTCTCTCTCCTTCGGTCGGCTTTGCTCTGCCTCAGGGGAACGAAAGCTTCTGCCCCTACTCCGACAACTGCTGCAGATATTGACTATGAGGCTACAGTCACTGAATGCCGCATAGATCTGCGGCTGAACTAATTTAACACAGATAGGATAGCTTCTTATGTATTAGGATATTTAATATTAAGGTAATTAAATGGTGGCGAAGATGTGGCTATTGGGGGAGGCTGGAGGCCACGTTTAAAAAAAATAAAATAAAAAATAAAAGTAGTAGTAGTAAAGTAGGAGGGGTAAGTCAAGGCCCAACAGGGTGAGAGAGGTGGATGTAACGCAAGGTAGGTGAGCGGATTGTCTCTATTGAGTTACCCGTAGAGGACCTGGGTTACCCTACACCACCCCCAGGACTACACCCCGGGGCTACAGCACACCCAAGGTTACACCACACCCAGAGCTACATCACACCCATGGCTAGACCACACCCAGGGCTAGACGACTCCCAGGGCTAGACCACACCCAGGGTTAGACCAAACCCAGGACTACACCACACCTAGGGCTACTGTACAATACCCCAGAGCTATCATACCACCCCTACAGCTACACCATGTGTGGCGGGGATGGACAGGAGGCTATATGTCTGTCTGTCTGTCTGTGTAGCAGTATCAGAGACCGAAACAACTTATTCTCATACTCTGTTTAAAATGTCTTGTCAGGTTTTAGGCAGTACACTAATGGTTAGGTTAGGTTGTGCCCTAATAGACCCAGTACCCATTTAACGTGTAACTTATGACACATGAGCCTCCTCCACCTACTGCTGGTCCTTCCTGACACTAACCTGATAAAACAAGGCTCATAAGATCACAGTTAGCCAAGCAATGACTTCCTATACTCTAACGACCTATCACCTTCTTCAGGGTGAGGTAAATCTTGGAGGTGATGCACTGATATTTCCCGGGTGACCAGTGCCTCTCTCGCTGCCACTCGCAAACTGAAGCCCCTTAGCCATAAACTATTTTACAAACGTCTGTCTTTCCATATATTTTCGTATCGATGAGGAGACGCACCGAGGGAGGAAGAAAATACTCCAGCCACTTGTCACTTTCTCTTGGCTATAAGATTAGAGTTTATATTTCAGGTTTTTGGTTTATGGACAACAGGATATTTGACAAGTCACCTTTCACTTCCTAAACCAGCCAGGAAAAGGATGAAGAGAGTAAACACCATCAGTGACGCTGTGCACAAGATGGTTATTTACTGAAGGACGAAATAAATCTCAACAAAAACAACTCTTCCACTAAGTTATCACACTCATGAGAGATAGACGGCCCAGTAGACAATGTTACAGATGAAGAAGATGAGAGGGATGCCCACCTTGCCCGCCTTCTCCACCCACTGCTCGTACATCACCAGTCTGTTAGGGGGAGACCTCTTCCCCGCCTCGTATGCTGCAGCAGGACCGTCTACTTTACTGGAGGAGGGAGGTGACGGGGACTCAGCCGAGTTCTGCCGCGTCGTAAAGCTGCCTCCTGTAGCTGGCGTGTTGTGGCGGTGACAGCGGTTGTTCTGCAGCACATGGCGGTACATTATATACTGACGAGAGCATTGGATAAGTAGTATATACTGTACATCAGTTAAAGTGATAATAATGTAAGATACAACAATTAACAAGTAGAATATTGTAGAAAGTGAACCTATAAGATACCAAATAACAGTTTTAATTACACAGTTGTATTATACAATGGAATAAGAAAAATATAGTCCAAATATATCATAATGTGAAACCTAAACCGACTCACCATAGGAACCACCACTTCTATCACTCGCTCTTTTTGCTTTCTCTGGATTCTGCAAAAAAAAAAAAAGTGCAAATCCATGAACAAACTTCGCACGGAAAACAACATCGTGAGGATTTAGTGACGGAGAAGCATTGTCACGTTGATATTACAAGTATAATTCACCAGATGATGTTAGCATAAGGACTCTACTGGATACAAGCATCTCATGGTTCTGTCAGCTGTCATTGATCAAATTGACTGAATTGACATCAGATATTTGTTTTTGATTTAGCTTCTCTTGATATTAATTAAAGAAAATGGTATAACACGAAAGAAAACGATATACACTTGAAGGGTAACCTACGTAATAATGATAGTGTACTGGAACAGCGTGAACACCACCAACACGATGCACAGAAACAACCAGACATCTATTGCTTTTAAGTAGCTTGTCTCCGGACTCTTCTGTCTGTAATATCAATGTTACATTTATGGAAAGTAACAAAAGCCAGTCAGGAGAGACATACGTACGGGTTTAGGTGATATATATTTAATGTAAAGGACAGGCGACCAACTCTACATCGTTATACAAACATACATTCATTCAATGCTGTGAATTCGACTTGAAGCTTTCCTAGATCGTTGAGTTTAGTGGTTAATTGTGATGTAGTTGGGATAATTATCACTTTGTTTATGCTTTGATCTGCTTATGATATTACTGTATACTTGATGAAAGTTACAGGTTAAAAAGCTTAAAGGTAGAAAATTAATTCCAGGTTTCCAGTAATGTTTCCAGTAATGGTAATGTTCTAGGACCTAAATCACTAAGGTCGTAAGAGGAATGTGATTGTTTACACTAGGCAGGACCTAAGGACGCGTGAGGGCGTATCAGATTCAAGGTGTGAGGGGTGGGGGAAGGAGGTCAGTCAGTGATCACAGTTGTGGCTCTGATTTACCGGACAGGGGAATCAGGCATCAGTAAAATCGTGGTACAAGTTTTCACTCCACCAACCCAAAGGGAAGGTGATGCTGATAAATGGTACAGTATCTAAATATTTTAATTATTTAAGGGTTCTTATGTAAGGTTTTTATTTCATATACTGTATATTTAATTTGCTCCATCCACGTTCTTTTTAGAATCACATTCGAAGTCAAGATAATTGTTCTTTAACTGGAAGGAATACGCAGAATAGATTTACTAATGACCTAAAATAGCAATACATAGAAAAAATAATAATCTTTGTATAAATGAGCATCATCAATCAATCGCTGTTTCTTACCTAAAACATATTATACGAGTGTCGGCCTCCACAGTAAACAGCAACATGAAATATTATAATCAAATATTATATATCTTATTTCTTATCAAATAAATTAAATAAATTAACTCTACCCATTAACTCTCCCTAACATATATAATAATAATTAAACTCAGTTCCCCAGTTTCTAATGGAGGAAATATTGCTTCCCTAATACTCACGAGGACAGATCTAGAGTGAAATTATCCATCACATGTTATTCATGTTATAATCCTCCTTTGTTTTACAGTAAATAAACAGAGAGGCCATTTTAGAACGCAGCATTGGTAGGGAAGAGAAAAATGGAAAACAAAAAGAGAAGTAATGATAATATAAATCAACAAAAAGTGATGTACATATGGCTAGGAGAGATACAGTAACAGGAGGGGGAGAAATATGACGGTAACATACACACTGTCTCTCATCTACTAATTTTCTCCCTCACCTAATGGAAGGTTTCTAGTCACCCCCTAGCGCTAGCCCCTATCTCACCACATAGCCCCTACCTCACCTTGTAGCCTTCTAGCCACCCCCTAGCGCTAGCCCCTATCTCACCACATAGACCCAACCTCACCTCGTAACCTCTACCTCACCTTGTAGCCTTCTAGCCACCCCCTAGGCCTAGCCCCTACCTCACCTAGTCCCGTTTACAGTCAACCCTTATCTCTTATATATCCATCCAACTTATGTTTGAAGCTATCCAGTGTGTTCGAGTTAATGATGATGTTTGGTAACTTGTTCCGCTCGTTCACTACTCTGTTTCCAGACCAGTGTTTACCTACAGTATTTCGCGCCTTAATCTAACTTTGTCTAATTTAAAACCATTGTTACGAGTTTGCTCCTGGTTGGATAATTTAAGTACCTTTGTTATATTACCTTTGTTTAACCCTGCTTTCCATTTATACACCTCGAACATACAACTTATACACGACCCCAGAGACCACCATACAACTTATACACGACCCCAGAGACCACCATACAACTTATACACGACCCCAGAGACCACCATACAACTTATACACGACCCCAGAGACCACCATACAACTTATACAATACCCCAGAGACCACCATACAACTTATACACGACCCCAGAGACCACCATACAACTTATACACGACCCCAGAGACCACCATACAACTTATACACGACCCCAGAGACCACCATACAACTTATACCCCAGAGACCACCATACAACTTATACCCCCAGAGACCACCATACAACTTATACACGACCCCAGAGACCACCATACAACTTATACACGACCCCAGAGACCACCATACAACTTATACACGACCCCAGAGACCACCATACAACTTATACACGACCCCAGAGACCACTATACAACTTATACACGACCCCAGAGACCACTATACAACTTATACACGACCCCAGAGACCACTATACAGACTATAAAAGTTACACACGACCTCTTGGACCCCTGACACTCAAGACACACCCCATCACGAGGAAACTGGCCACCAACACCTACCCAATGGCCGCATACATGGAGATGACAGTGAGGAGAGAGGTGATGATGAGGACAGTGCGGCCAGGGATGACTTCAGGAGGCCAGAAGAAGGAAGCCCAAGCCACGGCCACGAACAGAGCTGAAGGTACGTAGACTGTGAGCAAGTGCAGGGCGTACCGTCGAGCCAGCACGATCTCAGCCTGACCCACAGAGACGGGAGCTGTGAAGAGAGATAGAGCTGTAGTACACGTTATATTACACAGTAATCAAGATTGTATTATGTCGTTCAAGAATTTTTTTGTGAGAAATAAACATTACAACCTACTCGTCACATACCAGTCCCCATTTATAACAGTCAACAGTTATACCAGTCACTAGTTATACGAGTCACTAGTTATACGAGTCACCAGTTATACAGGTCAACAGTTATACCATTCACCAGTTATACCACCCACTAGTTATACCAATCACCATTTATACCAGTCAGTCACCAGCACTCACCAAAGGAGCAGTTAGAGCACCAGTGTTTCGTGGTTATGTTGCGCCATTCGATGTGGAAGTCGTAGTTAGGCAGCTGGTCGTCAACGGTGATGTCAGCCCACATTTCCTTCAGCATCCATTCCAGGCGAAGAACGTCCTCACTGAACTTGTCTGTAGGAGGCGGGGTAGGGGAGTGTTGTATAGGTGAGTATATAGAGGTGAGTGAACCAGGTGAGTAAATCAGGAGTTACAGGTACAGGTGAGTGACCATGCCGAGAGAGAGAGAGAGATACCTACATGAGGTGACGGTCATGTTGCACACTTGCACGTCGAAGGGGTACCTGCTGAAGGACATAGGGCAGGCCAGGCGGGTCTGCAGCCTGCAAGACACAACACTCAGGTCACCTACAGGAAACCTTCACTTGATTATATTATTAACCTTAAGACAATTGAGTTTTTATATTAAAGCAGAAGAGAAACCACATACTATAAATTTATATCAAAGATAATTTTCTTTAAAGTTGAATAATGATAATATATTAAAGCTCTATGTTGTTAAAGATAATTAACTTGTTTATTCAAATATAATTAAATTAATATAGTATAGTGAACCCTTATTAAGGTAAACTTTGTCTAAGTCTGGATCAAATTACTTAAGATAAATAATTTCATTACATTTGGTAAACTTCAAAGCCTTATCTGTGTCCACGTATTTTAGTAGTACAGCCGGATGCACAGAAGGTTGACTAAAGATTCAGTTCAGAAGACAAATTTTAGATAGACGCTCACATGACTTCTGTGTTTGTTTACATAGTTAAGTAAGAGCCAAGAGCAACCGCAGGGGGACTGACAGTGTGGAGAAGAGTATGGTGTTGGGAGGTCGGAGGTAGACGCCCTGAACCTCCTCGATCATCTTGAAGGAAGTGATCTCCCTCGTCTCGTGGATGAACAAGTCGGGGATCCAGAGGTGCTTCATGAGGTCGGAGTGTAGAGGCACCATACCCTCACCCGTCAGCGACCCCGTCACCAGTCGAGGTTCAGCCCACGACATGCGGAAGTACATGGAGAGGAGCACTGACTGAGGGAGGGAGGGAGGAGGGTGTCACAGTCGCTAGTGGAGGGACATGACCAGGAACATTGATAGTGGGAGAAATAAAAACAGGAAGCCATCATACCTTAGTACTCCTTCCTAGAACTAACCTAACCTAACCTCTCCCGAACCTAACTTAACAAGCTTAATCTAACCAAACCAAATTCGTAGTTACATTACGCATTCAGTTGCGGATATATGAATTAATTTTGCCAATAAAACTACCTACAAAAACACAATTTACGATATCATGTCAAAACCCAATTGTAAACACTGCGACAAGTTGAATATTTAATACACGTCTATTAGTCGATGTCCATTTTCTGTGTCTGTCGCCTGTCTTCCCGTTCTCTCTCACCGTTCAGGGATAACTGAAGATTTTGTTTTTATCTATCACACGTGAGACTTTCCCCGCGACAGGCTTTTGTTACTTAGTTATAAGGCTGGAATAATTTAATTCACAAAAGAAAGAAAAACCAACGGATGACACAACGCTTAGTTGTGAATGGGTTAATTAATGACTGACAACAACAATAATCAATTGCAAAATAATCGTTCAGTCTGCAGTGACAATAAGTACAGTATATGTTTTCACTAATACTAATGTCGAATTTTGGTAAGTATATTTCAAGATTTTGTCGACTCACTATTTACTGAATATAGACACAGTAAGAAGCATGACAGTCACAAGTTACTGAAATGTAAAACACGACAGTATTACCTCCCTATAAAGTACTTATTAATTTACGTTAACGCTACACATGATACAGTAACCCGAAAATTTACTCCTCACCGAAAGAAGTAAAACTAATTGATGGAATTTTAAATTACGGTCTTGGGTATTATAAGTTAAACTAATATTCACCCCGTTACCGAAAAATGTTCCGTGGAGGAGCCGGGGATTGAACCCGGGACTTCTCGCATGCGAAGCGAGCACTCTACCTCTGAGTTACACCCCCAAGCAGGTCCTGAAGTAGACCCAGCGGCAGGTTAATGAGTAATAGTGGTAGTAGACAGGTAATTCTCCGCCTCGTCCATTATAATGAGCCACAGGTTAATATTTGTACCTGTATTTTGTATGAAAACTCAGCAAACTTTATATTAGCATCGAGAGGCACTGACACTCTGAGTATTATAAGATTGTTATAAGCCCACGTGTGTTATATAGTTATTATTATTATTATTATTAGTATTATTATTAATGAATTACACAAACTTAACGATATTATAATGTAATCGAAGTTAATAATTGCACTAATCATCAACAATAGTCGTCAATAATTAAAAGCTAACTAAAAACATCTCTTTGGCTTCACCCGACCAAAAGCGGACGGAGAGAACAGCGGACGGAGAGAACAGCGGACGTGGTTGAGCTTCCTCCTGCGGACAGTAAACACTCCCTGCCAACAGCACTTCATAATTTCGAATACTATAACTAAAGTTTATCTTAAGCTTCAACAAACCCGGATTAGTTTATTTATGCCAAACTAAGGTGACCAAGTATTATTATTTGGTCATTTAAGCCCCATTACAAAAGAGAGTAAACCTTACACAATGATAAAACATCCATCAGTTAGATAAGGAGAAATATTTTGGGTTGACTAAACGCGGCCATACCAATCCGCGCAGGTAATTCTTCTTCTCTCACCTAACCTATAACCTAACCTACCTGTAACCTAACCTAACCTAACCTACCTGTAACCTAACCTAACCTACCTACCTGTAACCTAACCTACCTGTAACCTAACCTAACCTAACCTAATAAAAACAAGTTTGGGACACATGAGATGAGTGTGTTATTAGAATATGTAGTAAGAAACACATATATACCTTATTCATATTAGGGTAGTCACCTATTTTGATCGGAAGAGGGAGGTCGGGAGAGGGGGAAAAAGAGATAGAAAAGAGGAGAGGAGCAAGGAGACGGAGAGAGAAGGAAAGAAAATTGAAGGGAGAGAGAAGGGAAAGGAGAGAAAAGGGAAGGAAAAGAGAAGGAAAATAAAAGAGAAGTGAAAAGTAAACATACCATCTCTCTGAAGTTGACCTCATATACATTCTTGATGGACCAACTTATCCCCACCAGTATAGGCACACCTCCTGTAAGGCAGAAATTATCAGAGGTACAGCTGAAGGGAATTATCACAGGTGTAGAGAGATAAATTAACTTACAGGTACAATACACATCAGTACACTCGCTGAAACAAATTAGAATGTTAACACTATAGGCACACAGTGACAATATGCATCATAGGTTGATAAGTATAGGGAAATCAAAACAGCTGGTAAGTTAAATGTTTGTCTATTGAATAACACGGAGTCCTCAGTAACAAAGCTAATAATTCACACTCTCAAGGGGGAACTAAACTGTTAGATACCATAGGAATTAACAAATAGCGAACCGTATTTAACAGCATTAGCAGTTTAACAGTTTCTGAAAGATAATAAAGACGATGAGTATGTTTAAATTTTTTAGACCATTATGTAAGGTGAAGTAAATAACACAAAAAACCGTTTACTGTGTAGTGGAGAAACTGCCTGAGTTAACAGTACTTGTGGATCCTGATCTCTGACGCATTAAGTACACTGGGACAATAACAACGGCAGTCTGGCCAGTAAGTTTATTGTGGCAGACCAAAGAGAGACACTTACATATTAACTCTCATAAAATTGTTAAGTTCAGTGAAAGATCGATGATAGGTAAAGAAAACATGTGTATACCGACACACACACACACACACACACACACACACACACACACACACACACACACACACACACACACACACGTATATACGACACTCAGCTGTAATACAAACATAAATGACTTTTACTCAGAATAAAATTACTGTTCATTTATTCATTCACATTTACGTCGTTGTAAACCCTTGTTATATCCAATCCAATATTTTTTTTTATGAATACAGTAGTAGAAAATGACTGTAATTTCGTATTATTTTATGAATAATCTCAATTATTTAACAATTTGAAAAGCTGATTGCTGTGTCTGATATTAAAAATGAAGCCATGTTTATTATTTATTGTTTTCGGTGTTAGTGCCCCGCCACCACCTGACTCACTCTAAGGACGGTACTGTTATTGTAAGGGACCACCACGTTGTAATGTTGTGATCTGGTTTGCCTGTGATGTGTGGTAGACGGTGTGAGGGAAGGTAACGGCTGTGGGAGGTAATGTAGGGAAGAGGAAGGAGGTTACTGAGGCCAACAAGGCTAACAAAGTACTTGGGTTCAGACAAAGGAGTGTTCAGACAAGCGAGGTCATCCTAAAACTATATCTTGCGCTTGTCAGACCTCACTTGGATTACGGAGTTCAGTTCTGGTCACCGTAATACAGAATGGATATCAAATCTCAAGAAGGCATACAAAGGAGGTTGAGGAGACTAATCCCGGGCATTAGGAACCTTGAGTGCAGAGACAGATATGATCGAGGTGTATAAATGGAATTCAGCGTCAACCAAAGGTGTGTGTGTGTGTGTGCGTTTTGTACAATTCTATTTGGCAATAAGTTCACCCTCGCAACCCCTGCACCGCCACCAGCAAGAACACAATCTGGTGAAGAAGTTTCATTCACTCCCCAACAAATTAATACAAACTGAATGAACGAGTTCTTGTTCTCGTAATGTCAGGACTGAAACACAACCACTTGGAGAATCTAGGGTACACATACTTGATGCAATTATATGCCATTTTGCTGAATAATTTCTACGTTATTCACGGGAGCTGTGAGTGACACCTCCAGGACGTCGAAGGAGTGTGTTTGTGGCGTGACGCGAGGAGGGAGTAGAGAGGAGAAGCTACATGTGAAGTTGTGTTTACTGTGGTGTTATTTTAGTGAAAACTTCATTAGGTTACACTATGCACTCACACACTCCTAACTAACTCTCTCTCTCATTGACTCACTATCTTTCTCACTTCACCCAACACTCGTCTTTCTCAATGACTCACTCCTTATGAATCTCACTTCACCCAACACTCACTCGTCTTGTTTGTAAGGTGAGTAAGAGGTTTATGCTTCCCCACAACAGAGTAGCATGTCGAGCTCCACTTCACCAACGAGTAATGACCACCAAGAGTTTATTTACTTCACTCACTCAATCATTTTTACTCTGCACACCGAGGCTATCTTCAAGGTCTTGGTGTACTTAATATTTTAAGACGACCAAAGAGTCTTAATAGACTCAGGTCGAGCGTAAATCACCTCAGCTATCGTGTAATCTATCACTCATGGTGCAATCCATAGGGCTGAGGGATGGTGATCACAGCCCACCTCTCCATATGTTTTCGAGCTGTTTTAACCAATGCTTCCCTCAGTGACATACACACAGCACTGCACTCGGTGTTCTGTCATGTGATGAAACTACGTGGATACAAAGGGAAATTTTGACTAACTTGGGTGTGCATACAGTACAGTACTTATTTGTGAAAACTTCTCTTATGACAGTCAAATGTTTAATCAATTCCTCGCCAGAAGTTTCAGCAGCTATGTCCTTTAACGCCTTAACATCTTGATACACAACTTTAACCATTAAGTTCAATATATTACGACAAAGAAATAATCGATCAACTGATTTCCGAAAGTCACTAATTTGATCCAGAGGCAAAATGAATCTAAGTAAACCGATAAAATATTTCATATAAATTTGAACACCCGATATTTTATTGCACGTTATGAGCAGTAGTGCGGTGTTATGTGGAGGTTGTTGTGGTGGTGGTGGTGGTGCTGGTTGATGTATTTAGTAATCAATGTATTGGAATATTTCAGATTAGAGGCCAGACGTTAAAGAATATAAAATTTCCATAAACTGGCTGGCCAGAGCAAACACGACCAAAGGAAAGTGCAGTACCAGGTCGATGTTATATGTGGCGACCCTCGTGCACACTCACACATAAAACAATCATGTTGCATGTTGTAAAGAACCATGATTAAGGTGGCGGGTTATCCAAATATTGACTCGTTGTTGAAATAGTTGAGGTGGATTAAGGAGTGGCACTTTCCTCGTGTGTCTACTGTTTAATTCTCAGCACAAGAACAAAACTGATATTATTAACACGAGGCTTATGTGAAGTATACCCACACTGCCCTCTGATGCTGGCGAAATAAACCTGTCTTTAATGTCTCTGTACAAAGTGTGGCCTAATAACGTACATTGCCCCTGAACGATGCTTTTGTTCATTCAATAAACTTCATTTGTCCAGAAAACCAAGTGTACAGCCGCAGACATTAACATTTTCACAACGCTGACCACCAGTTACCCAGAAGTGTACTGAACCTCCTCCTCCTGCAGATAATCGAAGCTCACGTTTTCTTTCAAGTTTTGTGCTGAAAACCTAAAACAAAAGTCAGAATCAAACACATTCTTGCCTTTCTTCCTCTGTGGGGTGTTTGTCGATGAACCATATGGCCGCAGCTACCAAATTATGTTCGACTAAGTGATTATAACCTCGACTTCATCTCATAACTCTCGACCACCAACACTGCTTCACGGTCCTCTCACTACGTATGCATTTCGTTTTTATTCCCTCCAGCAAAATACTAATATCCTAATGACATAAATTATAGTTAACAGATAAATAAAATTTAGGATTTAGTCAACTTTTTTACCCATATGAAGATAATGAGTGAACACAATTATCGTTTAACGTATTTAACCTACTATTTAATCACTATAGCTCAAGTCAGGCGAGGGTGATAATTTACACCATCGTTGACAAGAGTTACTCAGCACCGTCGTCACTCACCTGGTGGTCTGGGCTCTACGGTGCTGTCGTAGTCTGAAGGCAACAGCTTGAGGACGTTCAGGCTCACCCCGGCCCCCACACAACACCTGCAGGAGGAGACACAGGTTAATGAGGAGTTAGTGTTACCTGAGGAAGGCTCGTCACCACCTACTTAACCCACCACCAGCGGGGGACACTTAACCCACCTGAGGGTTTGGTCAATACTAGCAGCTGGCCGGTGTCCGTAACTCAAGAGCTGTGATAAAATATTCACATGTATGGGAGGTGAATTTTTTATAATACCTCAGTTGTAAGTGATATGGACACACACACACACACACACACACACACACACACACACACACACACACATTCTTTACAGTACTCTCCCTCTGGTTAATAAGAGGAGTCACGCTGAGGCCGTCACACAACACGTTCCACACCAACAAAAAAAATTAATTTAGTTAAATAACAATTATTAATCTTATTATTTACTTATCTCTCGTTTTGTCGTCTTTAATTATCTTATCTCTCCATTATAATCTTTATTAATTAATTACCGTCAATAAAGTATGAATGACCGGGACGTGACCTGGAATTCGGACTTGACCTGACATGATGGAGGAGTTGACCCACCACCACCACACGTTCACAATAACGAACACAATAGCAACGTCCCCACGGCCGTTTTATCGAACCCTTGTACTCCAGTTGAGAGAGAGAGAGAGAGAGAGAGAGAGAGAGAGAGAGAGATCGAACGAACGAAAAAATAAAAGGAATGAAAATACTGTTGAGTCCCCCATCGTCATTTCGTTTTCTTTATCGACTGGTACAGTATATGAGTGAGGAGATGTGATGTGCTGATTTACGGGTACAAGTTATTCAGTTTTCTGGTCAATATAATCGCCATAACTCACTGTGGTAGAGGTAACACCATCCGGACTCCAGTTGTAGTAGAGGTAAAAACAGCGGGAATAATGCTGTTCTTGTGATCAGTACGTGGTCCTCTGGGCTGGATACCCCAACCCCTATTGCTCATACTGTATATCCATCCATCTTATGTTTGAAGCTTTCCAGCGTGTTCCAGTTAATGATGATGTTTGTAACTTGTTCCACTCATCCACTACTCTATTTCTAAACCAATGTTTATCTATCTCGCGCCTAAATCTACATCTATAATAAAAAAAATCACACTGAGGGTCTCTCAAACACACACACACATCTTTCCCGGACGAAGGTTTTTTAGAACATTTCTTAACAGTGACATATTGATTTACTCAGGTGTCGCGTGAAAGCATTGATTTATATCACCAGACACAACTCACTTCATGGAAACTTTAAAGAATGTAGACAGAGATATGTGCTAAAAATCAATGTGTCAATATTAAGAAATGTGAAAAAAAAAACCTTTGTCCGAGATTGATGTGTGTGTGAGAGCCTCGCAGTGTGATCAGTTATTATTAGAAATTTAGATTTAGGCGCGAAATAGGTAAACATTGGTTTGGAAATAGAGTAGTGGACGAGTGGAACAAGTTACCAAACATTATCATTAACTCGAATACGCTGGATAGCTTCAAACATAGGTTGGGTGGACATATGAGCGATAGGGGTTGGGTGTAAATGGGACTGCCCAGTATGGACCAATAGGCCCGCTGCAGTTTCCTCCATCCTTATGTTCTTCAAGGTATAAAAGCTTTACACTTTGATGTTCTTATGGATAAGGTGGGAAAAACATCCATTAGTCAGGTGAGGTCAGGCGGGCGCTGTCCTGACTTAATGTAACCACAATTTAAATCGTTATTGATAACAGGAAGTGAACAAAGGTGATGATAACATTTAACTAATATATCAACATAATCAGGAGGTCTGGGAAGGTGTCACGTACTACAGGATATCCACAATTACTGGTTCACTAATGTCTATTATATCATGTAAGAAAATATAGTTGTAGTTCCTTCTAAGGCTGATTAAAACTTGACATATTACTACTACTAATAATAATGGTGAAATGTTTCTTGTAATATCTTAGTTAAACAAAACCGGTTTTTTTCATGAAGGAATTACGTACAAGAATAAAATATAAGATCCAGGACACACACACACACACACACACACACACATACACACACCACTACCCATCATGATGCAATAGATAATTACGACCCCTAATCACAAAGCAGGTGTAATAACACAGGTGTAGCCCACTTAATTTACCTCAAACTTCTCCCATTTGGGTACTTGTGGGGAGGAGAGGCCACACCCCCTCACCCACACACCCTCACCCACACCCCCTCACGCACACACCCTCACGCACACACCCTCACACACACACACACACCCTCACACACACACACACACACCTCACACACACACACAACCACACACACGTGGATAAGTACATAGTGAGAGCACACCATCACCACGACATCTGCACAAAAGCACACCATCCACTAACCGATGTCAGATCCACTGTTCGATCCACAAAGGCATTACGTGCATGATCGCTATCTCCCAACCATTGTAAATTTATCAATAACATGGGTAAATCAGTGAGGCTCCTTACACTGTCACTATGTTGAAATGAACTCCCCCATCTAAGTTATTATATTCTTATTTGTGTCACTCCTGCATATTATTTGTAATTCGGTAACTGTATATTTTCAGCCTTCTGGCTGCCAAGCTGTTTCAAGTTACACACACACACACAAACACACACACACACACACACACACACGGATGTCATGACCAGTTAATGCATCTACTGATAACAATACAGAGGCTCGCATTTTATATCCTAATGGCTCAGTGGTTCAGCCGCGCCATTAAGACACACACGCTATACTCTAAACTTCTTAAAGGGTAAAAAATGTTCACCAAAGTTATGCTTGAAGACCATTAACCAAGTAAGGGTCACAGGTAGCGTGTCTCCCCTTCCTTATCAGAACCCATCACTTGGTCACACACCTCCCTCTCTCCCTCAGTCACTCAAGAATTATATAATCACTGATATAAATGTCCCCTAAGTGACCCGTTATTGTTGAGGTAAAGACTATAATTCCGGGTGATGATGACGCTTGTAATCACTCGGGTCGAAAAATAGTTAGTGATTGTTAGGTAAAAATTTCCTCTTTTCAGAACTTCAAGTTAAAATTATTCCTGAGTGTTGAGTGAGTTTCAGGATTTTAGTAGTGAGTCAAATTATTCGTGAGGTGGATGTCGTCATCTTTTTGTCAATGAACCTCCAACACGCGACGAGGAAATGTATCAATAAATCGTGACGCTGCAGGTGTCTTACCCAGAACCATCCAGGTAAAGTGATTTAATTTAATATGAGTCAAGACGGAATAAATGGCGGTGACTCGTAACAAGAATGTGTTTACCTGGTCGAGGAACATTTGTTTACCTGGTCGAGGAACACTTGTTTACCTGGACGAGGAACACGTGTTTACCTGGACGAGGAAAATTTGTTTACCTGGTCGAGGAACACTTACATGAGGGTGAGGGTGAGGAAGGAGAGTGTGGCGGCGTCCATCTCTAGTGGTGGGTGTCCTCTTCTTCAACAGGGGTAACTAATGGCGTCCTCACACACACGAAGCATCACACGTAAGCCAGACGGTTAGTGCCATCAGTGAGAGTCAGTGGCTGGGTGAGGATGGTCCGTGTGACACTGATGCTGTTAAGTAGCGGTAGTGGCCGAGTACAGGTGAGCAGGAGTTAACTGAGCAAGACGCCTGCCGGGAGTGATTACAGGACTGCCGAGTTGTTTAAGTGTTTTAACTATCAAGGTTTACTAAGTACAGTTCACTATAGGTTTTAGTTTTAAGTGTTTCAAGTGTACTCTCAGGGTTATTAAGCACCGTGCACTATAATAGGTCTTAACGGGGGCATTAAGCACCGTGCACTAGGTTTTACGACAAATTTTAAATATTCACAAGAGCTCCTCACTATCAGCACCTGCCACGCAACTCACCTGTCAAGGCTGGCATGCAACATTGATAATATCTCTAGGTTGCCCACGTGACTCCTGCCCCCTAGTGTGCAACAGGCCAGGTTAATGAGGCTGCTTGGTAAGTATTATACATTTGACAAACTAGGTCAAGTTCATTACACAAGGGCAAAGTTCCTCGATTCTGTCCTTTCTCCAGTCGTGAATTTTAAGAACTTTCGATTTTGTTGCCAATTTTCATTCTTGACTAAAGTTAAAGAGATTTGTGCTGACTTTCCTGAAACACTTGAAGCCTTTTACTTGACAGGAAAATTTTTAGAAAAAACTAAAATACGAATTGTTTAACGTTGTTGTCTTGGTGGCTAGAGTTACGCTAGGTTAAATTAGGTAGGTTAATTTAGGTTCGGTTAGGTTAAGTAGGATTAACTTAGGTCGGTTGTTTTAACTCAATTTAGTTTAGGTTAGGTTGGGTTGGGTTAGGCAAGGTTCATTTAAAATAGATATTCCACAAATCACTGAAGTTCCGATAATCGTAAAAGTTATCCTCTGGCGAAGTCACGTCGTTAAGAAGCTACAAGCACCACCACCAGCTCTGGGCCACGTACTACCACCACCACCACTCACGCCACACTACCACCACTCACAGTACTACCTCTGCACGCCACCACAGCCACCCACCGACTGCTGTACACACCGTCGTCATACACGGAATACCACCCACAACACCTCCTGCTTCCCATTACCGCTCCCCACAATATTAACTGGTTGATAGTATTGGGCCTGGTTGATAGTAAGGGGCCTGGTTGGCAGAAGTTATGAATATACGTTAACTTGGCTGATAAGCATCTATTCAGGTTCTACATTACTAATTAGGACTTATACCGTTAAAAGGTCCTCATCGGGTTTTCTATTTAACACTAGTCAATGCCGAATGCATTATTCTAATAGTTACCCATGAAGAGTTTAGTTTTCTGTGGTGCGTTACCATAGAAAACAATATATTGCGGGATAACTATTTTAATATAATTTGGTGTTGGGTTGTAAAATGTATTTAAAATAAATAAACTTAATAAGCAGACGCACGACAGCATATTAGATCCAACTTGAATAGAAAATAACGTCACGCTTACGACGACAGGTATAACCCTCCTTATGTATACACAGTGATGCTGGTGCAGAAATATTCAGGTTTAAAGCTGTGAAAACTGTGTATTGTGGTGCAAATCAAGATATTTCTTATAATCAGGTGATTATAACTGAAATTAGAACTTGAAATTGCACCAAGAAAAAACAACAACTATATGGTAATAACTAAGGTAGTGATGAGACGAGCAGGAGTGTGTGCTGTACGTCAGGTTGACCACCCCTAGTTTGACTATTAAGTAAATACTGTAAATAATCATCACAGGGGATCACGTGAGGATTAGACACCCCAGGTTATTTCATCTGATGATTAAACACCTTATGTTATGTATAGTTACCATAAGGGTGTTTAATGTTTAGGTGAAATAAGCTGGGGTGTCTAATCCTCACGTGATCTATCCGATAGATCACGTGAGGATTAGACACCCCAGCTTATTTCACCCATGCACGTGACGTCAGGTATCACGTGATTTTCTAATGGGCGCCATCATGTGAACACGACACAACATAACCCTGTGAAGCTGTAGTAATGGTGAACTCTTGTGCGGTGTTCAACTGTTCAGAAAGAGAACACAGTTTAACTTTCCACCGTAGTTGTTATTCACTGTGACGACAACCCCAATAATTTACACCATAAACGACGAGACAATGTAACAACGCCACACTATACAGTAATCACTCGTCGCCGCTAAGGAACCTCTCCATATACTTTATACTGGAAGACATTATTAGATATATAAAGTTAATTACGTAAAACTTTCTCCTACCAAAGATACAAAACTTCCACAAACCTTCACCAGCCGTTTGATCCTTAAAGGTCAATGGTTCTGATGAGTTAAGTTTATTTGTTCAGTTTTACGGGAAAATCAACAACAATGTACAGGTATACAGCCGGTCCCAACGGAGCTGCTCTTGTTATCCCGTGGAAATAGTCGGGGAGGAAGGAGGGGGGAGTGGAGGAGGGGGGAGTGGAGGAGGGGGGAGGGGGAGGGGGAGAGAATAGGGAAAGTGGAGAGACGATGTAAACATATCTTCTAACTCCTTCACTACTGGACGCCACTTTAAATATTAACCTAACCTAACACTAGACGATTTTATTCAGCACAGAAAGATCCTCGTACCTAAAAGGTTAAATAGCCTAAATTAAGTTAGGTTAAGTCTGGTTAATGTTAGGTTAGTTTAGGTTAGGATAGTTTAGGTTAGGTTAGATAGGTTAGGTTAGTTTAGGTTAGGTTAGTTTAGGTTAGGTTAGATAGGTTAGCTTAGGTTCCTCCATTCAGCTACAGCTCACTAAGCAAAAAGCCAAATAATTATATATAACCCATTCTAACATATGGGTCACTAGCTTGGTCACTCACAGCTACAAGCTACTGAGATGAGTCACTCAGGCTTAATAGAAGAGTGACCAGATTAATTAAACAACAAAGAAATCAGAGACGATCTTAATGTAACACTAATTTAAAAATACTTAAAAGAATAAATTAAGAAACTGAAAAAGAGTCCATTAAGATGATGTGGACACGTGTGTGTGTGTGTGAGGGGAGGTGAGTGAGGGTTGGACTGGACTGACTGCACGGGCCAGCAGAACCTGTCGGCCGCCCGCGCAAGAGATGGATCGATGACGCAAAGAGAACATTGATGGCAAGAGGAACAACAGTGGAGGAGTGGAGTAGTGGAAGAGTGGAGTAGTGGAGGAATGAAGTAGTGGAAGAGTGGAGTAGTGGAGGAGTGGGGTGGAGTAGTGGAGGAGTGAAGTAGTGGAAGAGTGGAGTAGTGGAGGAGTGGGGTGGAGTAGTGGAGGAGTGAAGTAGTGGAAGAGTAGAGTAGTGGAGGAGTGAAGTAGTGGAAGAGTGGAGGAGTGGGGTGGAGTAGTGGAGTGAAGTAGTGGAAGAGTGGAGTAGTGGAGGAGTGAAGTAGTGGAAGAGTGAAGTAGTGGAGAGTGGAGTGTGGAAGTGGGGTGGAGTGGAGGAGTGAAGTGGAAGAGTGGAGTAGTGGAGTGGGGTGGAGTAGTGGAGGAGTGAAGTAGTGGAAGAGTAGAGTAGTGGAGGAGTGAAGTAGTGGAAGAGTGGAGGAGTGGGGTGGAGTAAGTGAAGTAGTGGAAGAGTGGAGTAGTGGAGGAGTGAAGTAGTGGAAGAGTGAAGTAGTGGAGTAGTGGAAGAGTGGAGTAGTGGAGGAGTGGGGTGGAGTAGTGGAGGAGTGAAGTAGTGGAAGAGTGGAGTAGTGGAGGGTGGGGTGAGGAGTGAAGTGGTGGAAGAGTGGAATGGTGGAGTAGTGGAGGTGAAGTAGTGGAAGAGTGGAATAGTGGAGTAGTGGAGGAGTGAAGTAGTGGAGGAGTGAAGTAGTGGAAGAGTGGAGTAGTGGAGGAGTGAAGTAGTGGAAGAGTGGAGTAGTGGAGGAGTGGGGTGGAGTAGTGGAGGACTGAAGTAGTGGAAGAGTGGAATAGTGGAGTAGTGGAAGAGTGGAGTAGTGGAGGAGTGGAATACTGGAGTAGTGGAATCCAAATCCCGTGAAGTAAATAAAGAGGCCGTGGCCCCCTTGCCTCTGGTGCTTCGGTAAACTGACAAATATCATCACTGAAACATTAATATTGTCACATGACTGAGCCAATGAGTACTACCAGACACTACTCAGTGGTTATAAACAGATATAATTCACCAATATCTTTTGACAATTCACCGCTGAGGCAGCAACCTGCTTGTAATTTTCATTTTGTTTTCCAGTTCCAACACCGAATCTGTTCGTCACAAGTACACTCAAGTAACAAATGATATATCAAAACCTAAAAACCCGCTTGTTGAAGGTGACACTTGTGAAGAATTACCAAAAATGATAATAACATGACACAGTAAAATTCAACCCACATCTCAATGACCAACTGTACAGCCAATCATTAGGTTATCACAATTAATTACATGTGAGGGTCATTTTATTCACACTCACATGACGAGAAACATCAATGACGACAATTAACACAAGAAAACCCTAACCTAACCTGAGTTAACGTACCTTTGGTTAGGTTGGGCTGGCGTAGATGTAATAGTTTAGCTTGGTTCGTTCTGTCTGTCATTGTTAGCTGTGGTTTTAGAAGCTATAAACATCCTTGCTGACATAACTCGTTCCAGCAGAAACTTCGTAACAAGTTCGAAACCACCTAATGAGTCGTCAACACAATCGATTTGAAAAGCCTCTTTGTCAGTGTGGGTCTTCGTTGTCAGGTGACCATGAGTGAGTCACACCTGGTCACGTCACCTGGTAGGTCAGCTGAAGTCAGGGAAGAGTCGTGAAGGCGCTGGTCTGTGTTGCGGTCACCTGTCTGGGTCATACGCCAGTGCAGTACACCTTCTCCAAACAAGCTCCTGGGTGCGAGCGTGACTGTGTGTGTAAGTGTATCTGTGTAGGAGTGTGTGTGTGTATGTGTGTGTGTGTGTTTGTGTGTGTGTAGCTGTTTGCTGTCTGTGGGTGTAAGGGTGTGAGAGCGACGCTGTGTGTGGGTGCAATGGTATGTGGGAATGTGGCTGTATGTGGGAGCTTGGCTAAATGTGTGGGTGTGTGCGGGTGTAGCGGTGAGGGTAGGGGTGTGGTTTACCAGTGACAAGGACCAGGACGCCCGTGTGAGCCTCGAGGTGACGCCATCCACTCAGGGAAGATTACTACGTGTTGTCCTTAAATGGTTATGCATCCCATTTGCCTTATACAGCGCAGCTATTTCCGAGCCTTCCACCGGCCAGGGAGTGAGCCTTCCCTCCCTGTAAACTAAACCCAATTATGGCGTACGTTATTTGTTTTTATTATTGTTCTTCATAGTTCAAATTGTCCAGAGTTCTCCCTTCTGATTAATGGGTCTTTTAACATGTTTGATAATTCGTAAATTGATGTCGCTGGTTACGAACGCCGTGAATAGTATCGTGTTGACATCACTGCACTGCGCTCCTACCGGCCATGTGTTTAACGTCGTCCTGTGTGCGTTTGTTTACCTGTCAGCTGATTGGCGCTGACGGCTGTGTTCGAAGGTCTTGTGGTGGCCTTGGCTAGCGCTTTCGTTAATTCGTGGGCTGCATGGCAGAATTTTTTTTACAACCTTAGTGAAGTGAGACTTTATCTTCATTAAAAAAATATACTCAGATATATAAATCCTGTTATGTTTATATTCTAGCTAACAAATATGTGTCGAGGGGAAGGTGATCGAGGCTTCTAACTCTTGATAGGGCTGAGGTCACTGAGGTGTCTCAGCTGAATAAAATCGTCTGGTGTTAGCCCGAGTAAATACTAAAGTGCACCGCTGCTCTACAGACGGTTCAAGGTACAGTATACAGATCACACACACATGCACACAACCGTTGCTTGCCATATTTTAAAGGTTCAAGCACATTAACATATGACCATCACAGTGTCTGACCCAGGCTGGTGTGATCCACCTGAGCCTTTGACTGATGCTGTCACTGTGATCATTATCTTCGTCAGTTTCCCCTGCAGAGCTCATTAATCCACCAGGCTTTCCTTATTGATTTGTGGGGAAATAGATATTAGTCCCCCAAGTCCCTCTCCCTGTGTTGCCCGTCCGAGAATTCAACAGATCTTCCGATGGTTGTATTTACATGTATGGGTGATGGTGAAAGGGTGCGTCCACGTGATCTCGTTACTCACTTGTGTTTATAAACAACTCCACGTGACCTGTGATTTGAGGAGTCACCACCTCCTGCCGCCCGGAGTCAATATTCGTCTGTTATGTTTCACCATTTGTCGCCTTCATCACTCGTTACCAGCCTGGCCATGTTTACGTTCAGTCTGACGCCGCTAACACCATCTACGACACAGCAGCTGACACCAATACCCACGACACGACACAGCAGCTGACACTAACACCCACGACACGACACAGAAGTTGACACCAACACAGGAGCTGAAAACTCAAGAGGTGTGCTGCGTACCTCGGCTTCGTTACCTCGCGTGTGTGGTGTGTCAGGTTCGCCCTAAACGTCGCTATAAAATTTACGACATGAAAAAATAATCTTGGTTATAATTTCTCATCTCTCAGCACACGAGGCAAACATCAGCAGGTCCTGACAACACTCACCCAAAACAACATACATTGCGCTTATGTATGAGTTTCACGTTTGTTTCATACATATGTATATTAATTAAGGTTAAAATATACTATAGTGTTGTTATACATTTATATTTTCCTCAAAGTACAAAAAAATATATCTATTATTTACATGAGAAGTATTATCATCATCCATGGAGGTGGTGTGGGTGAGGCAGGTTGGCGATACTCGCCACACACTTTGCCATCCAGTCGTGGACTTGGGCCACACGCTGTGGGAAGTACTTGACGAACACATCGTTGAGCTTAGGGTCTGGCAGCTTGTGGAAGAGAGGTTCATGGGCCTTGACAAACTCCACCAGGAGGTTCTGAGGCTCCGGGTGGTGAATCAGACCCAGGATGGCCTCCATGGTCGACCTCCTGAAGATGCACATAGACTCCAGCATTCGGGTGTGGAAGGTGAGGAACCTGGAGGACTGGGCGGGGTCTGCCGTGCCGTATAGGAGGGTGTAGGCGTCCATCAGACCTGACTCGTTGTCCAGCAGCCACAGGGCGTCTGTCGCCTCGCTCCGGACCTGAATGAAGGACAGAGGTGATGTTTTAGTGGTGAGTATCATTCTATAGATAAAGTTACATTACTATCCTGTCTACAGTAAGTTAAAAATGTTATCACTCTTCAACCATCATTTTATCTTGTGAAAATTATATTATCGCCTCTCTAGGAGTGTAGAACAGTGGTGTACTCATCTTCCCCCTCCCTCTCTCTGTATCTCTCCCCCTCCCCCCTAGGAACAGTGCCGTTACTCACCAGGTTATGTATAGTGCCGCTCAGTATCTGTGGACGACCCTCTTTCTCGGCGGCGTCCTGCATGTACGCAACACGGTCGTAGTTCCCCGTCAGGTAGTCGAACACAAGGAGGTCACTCCACTGCAACAGGCGAACCAGGTCCCTCTCAGCCGCCTGCTTCAGGGACCTCCTCCCCTTGAGGCCCTGCATTTCGTCTTCCCCTGTGTGTTTCTTCTGCAGGTCTCCGTCATTTATCTTCGTCAGGGTAACTTGGTCTTTGATTCCAGTGATCCTAAATCTCTGAGTTTCGTCTTCTGTGCGTCCCTTCTTCAGGTTGCTCTCCTTCACCAGGTCCAGGGTCTTTGGGTCTTCAATTCCAGTAACTCTGAGGCCTTGCTTCCCGTCTCTTCTGTCTTCCTTCTCCACGTTTGTCTTCGTCAGGATACTCTGGTCTTTGATGTTGGCGACTTTGTAGAGTTTATGTCCCTGGAGACCATCTTCAGGCTCCTCCTTCTGCGTCTCCCCTTCCTCCTCCAGGATACTCAGGGTTGAATTCTTGAGGACGACGTCAAGGAGGATGGAGGGCATGTGATCTCTGAGGAGGAGAGAGAGAGACAAATATTTAGTTACGAATAAATATTACCCTTATTAACTAGCCCCTCCTTAAACTAAGACCACTAACTACCTCCTCGCTAACTAAGACCCTCTAACCACCCCCGATGAGGGACGTATTGAGAAGCAACGATACATTTCTCATTATCTATCTGAATTTAAGGACCCGAGTGGTTAAAGAAGTCTTGTGTGTTACAGGACAGGTACAGTAATTAAGTTCAAACTTCAAGACGTGTTTTACTAATGACTTAAGTTACCTGTCGGCTCCCCCTCACTACCCCTACGGCAGGATCGCCCCCCCCCAACTACCAGACACCGGGTCTAGATGTTAACACGGAAAGGTACAAGTTAATATGGAGTTAAAGTTAACTTAATTGGGCGAGGGAAGGTAGGGGGTTCACACACACACACACACACACCTGACTAGGCCGTGGACCCAAGGTGTTAAGACGACCACGGGAGCATCACCCCAGCCGGCCCGGGCCATCTGGGGGGCCACAGTGGACCACCTTGGCTGGGTCGGCTCACTGAGGGCCACAGGAGGGACGTGGCCCACACCCAGTAGCCGCGACAGGTAAAAGCTGACCACTTCCCCCACCAGCAGGTAGTCGTCAGGATACCTGGTGTAGGAGACGATAATTACAGGTGTTAGGTATGCACAGGTAACTCAACTCATCATATTAAAAAAATCGATAATTGAAGCTGGTGTTTATATGTCTGGTCATGCCGTTTACTGTGACGAACTAACCAAACTAATGTACAGTATATATAAGTTATGTCTGTACAGTAGACGGTAGTTAGGTTAGTAATAACGTTACTCATTTATAGTTTGTATGATAATATTCTACAGGATCGTCTTTATATAAACATCATCTTGAATTGTCGATTTTTTAACGAACTTCGATATACTAAATAATATATCATATAACATTAACAAAATTTATTTACATACAATCAGGTGAGCCTGAGCTACATAAGGTAACATACACAAATTGACCAGCAGAGTACACCTGGTCAGCAGGTGAGGCCGAGTTAACGAGGACGAGTAGTGACTACACTCACCTGTATCTGGCACAAGCGGCGCCGCCCCCGACCAACTCCACCCACTGGTTCTTCGGCCGCCCACATCTCTCCCAGGTGGGTTCCTTCAGTCCCGTCACCTCCTGCGACCTGAGACGCTCCTGTACCCTCCCGACGGTGGCGTCGCTGATCTCAGGCTCTAACAGGAGAGCCTCTACTGCCGGAGAGAAGACCACGCCCTCCACCACCACCTCCAGCCCGTAGTCGCTGATGAGGTTCACCTGTGGTAGGTTCTTCCACGTCTCCCTCACCGTGGGCGTCTTGAAGGTGGATCGGTCTTCCGCAGCCTCCTCCTGCTGGCTCGTGTGGGTCTTTCTCTTGTTGTCTCCGCCCTCCTCCTTGACGGAGAAGTCGAAGTACTTCATGTCAAACACTGGGTTGTACTCGTCGTCCTCCTGATTGTCATAGTCCTCGTCGTAACTGTCGTTCAGTATCAGGTCGTCTTCATCATCATCAAAGTCGTCGTCATCGTCATCGGTGTAGTCGTCCTCCACACTTCGCTTGTACTCAGGATGGTCCTCCAGTTTCCTGACCGTCCTGCCAACACCCAGACCAACATCCCACTTGGTGTTGTCGTTGACACTCATCAAGTCTAATCCGTTGTTTCTGGTGTGGGCGGCCATCATGAGGCCGCCGCCCCTCAGTACCTGGGTGGTGGGCGTCACCTGAACCAACACGAAGGCAACAAGGGAGAGCAGCAGCAGCCCCAGCAGGCACAGCACTACACTCACCAGCCGCTGCATGCGGTACACGGGGAAGGACTGAGGGAAGTAACACCAGCTCCAGCGCCTGTGTGTCCTGAAGGGTTTACCCCAGGTCCTGGACACCACAGGACGCAGAGGGTAGTCTACCGTGGTCAAGAAGTCTCGGGACGCCGTAGCCAAGTTGAGGCGAGGAGAATCGGGCGACGCCATGATGGAATTGACAACTATCATGGAAGATGTGTGGTGGCGAGGTGGTGGCGATCACGAGGCTCGGGGACAGGCGTCCAGTGTGTCCATAAACAGGTCGTCGCTGGCAAGACGTGGCGGTGAAAGGAAATTTTGGCATCGGGGCAGAACAGTAATCCAAGGTTTGGGTTTCCGGTCACGCACAATGGAGGTCTCCCGCCGGGGTGTGTCACGACCCGAGTAATGTTCCCAGGACGTGATGGCGCTCACTTCGTCACCTGCTGCGGGGTAAACCACGCAGGTCTGCTACACGAGAAGTACACACGGCTGTCATTTGTATCGCCATTCATGACGTAATATTTCCATCACAAACTACAAGTGTTTATTGTTCATTCCTTATAAACATCGGTGACTGAGCTGCCAACATTATTTGGGTTCCGTCAGTGAAAGTCAGAGTAGCAGAGCTGTAAGCCGCTCCTCGCCTCCACACTCACGTCTCCTCTCACTGTAAGAAAAAGAAAAACAAAACGAAATTAAAAACATCATTACTTTATTAACTCATCTATGGAGTCACTTAAATAATAATGTTTCTTACTGGCGGACACATACAGGTGTGGCTCTGACGACGCAACAAATACATTCATCCTTTACCAGACTAAAGTAGAAAGAATAAACCGTTGTTGTGCCCCACACAAACACCTCCTCACCTTGACGGCTGCCAAGTGAGCGTCCCAACAGTGTGAAGAATGTGTCCACTCCACGCCCGTCACTCGGCAACGCCCATCCCTCACAATGCCTCACGCCCACACTTTACACAACCACACGCCTCCACCCCACTGCCTTACTTTATACTCTCACCACATACTGGTCGGCTAAGACGGTGTTTTGAGCATTCCCGCCAGGTACTACACGGGTATGTACTGGCTCCTAAATGTACCATAATAAGTGCCAGTGCGACCTAACCCGGATTAGAGAGTTAGTACTTAGTTGTGACATAGCAACAACACACATACAGTACAATACATCTCCAACACATACACGGCAGAGAAGACGATGTGGCACGTGAGGGGCAGAAGGCCACCACAACAACGGGTTCTGCCTCTTACGTCAGAAGGTGGGCGAGAGAGTGAGGTTACCTGCCCGTGTGACTGCTGGCCGACGCCCCTCCGCACACGTTAAGGGACTCTGTATATACTACGTTAAGGGACTCTATATACTAACGTTAAGGGACACTGTATATAATAACGTTAAGGGACACTGTATATAATAACGTTAAGGGACTCTGTAAACACAAACATCAAGGGACTCTGTAAACACACTGTAAAAATTACAATCCGCAAAAACTCTTGACTGCCTCATACTAAACACTGATTCGTTGTGTGTGTGTGTGTGTGTGTGTGGCAGCCAGAGGAAGGAGAGAGAAGAAGAACCCTATCTACCGATAACCCATATCAGCTGCAAGGTGGTTAGGTTAGGTGCAACACGATCACCGTACAGCCTCCTCTTTCACCCATAACTCACTACAGATCTTAAGAGTTGATTATTTATTCTGAATCAGAGAGACCCTTCCTTGGGGTGTGTGTGTGTGGTGTGTGTGTATGTGTGTGTGGTATGTGTGTCTGTGTGTGGTGTGTGTGTATGTGTGTGTGTGGTGTGTGTGGTGTATGTGTGTGTGTGTGTGTGTATGTGTGTGTGTGTGTGTGTGTGTATGTATGTGTGTGTGTGTGTGTGTGTGTGTATGTGTGTGGTGTGTGTGTGTGTGTAAACCCTATCCACTGGACTGGTCACCTTGCAGTAACCTGGTACAAGTGTGTCGTTCCTCGTCCCATCATTAATGGCTGTCACACAAAATTCGTATCATAACCTAACCAAATCTAACACAGCCTAATCATAACTCAACCTAACCTAACCCAACCTAATCCTATCTCAACCTTAACCTAATCCTAACTCAACCTAAACTAATCCCAACTCAACCTAACTAATCCAACATTAACCTAACTTAATCTAATCCTAACTCAACCTAACCTAACCAACACACAGTCCACTATTTTTATAACCGGAAAATATAAGACTTTAATATATACTTGAGATAACTTGTAGTATAATTATTCCACGTTTAAGAGTTATATTTACCGCCAGTAGCAACACACCTGTTTAATTAAGGCTGTGGGAGGTCAGGTAAAGGTGACCACACAGGTTCTGGGGGGGGTGTGTGCTCCTCCTTTAAAGTGTCGCTTCTCTCTCTCTCGTGAAGGTAGGTAAGCTCTCTCTCTCTCTCTCTCTCTCTCTCTCTCTCTCTCTCTCTCTCTCTCTCTCTCTCTCTCTCTCTCTCTCTCTCTCTCTCTCTCTCTCTCTCTCTCTCTCTCTCTCTCTCTCTCTCTCTCTCTCTCATGAAGGTAGGTACACACACACATAAGACCTATGATAATATTTACCTGGGTGAGATAAGCCAGGTGGATAACTTCAACCACAGGTGGACGTTACTGACGGGGATGAGTGAGACAGATAGACAGACAGACAGATAGTCTTATTGTGAAGGTGATGGATAGCCAGGTACTCCACTTCCCTCTAGAGGACAAGAGGTTCTGGAGGGAGGGAGAGAGGGAAGGGACAATACAGCAGGGAGAGAAGAAGGACAATAAGAGGGAGGAGGGAGAAAAAGGTCAACACAGCAGGGAGAGGGAGGCAAGACAATAGGAGGGAGGGGAGAGGGAGGGAGGGGAGAGGGAGGGAGGGACACTCACTGTCAACACAGCTGTGACCAGAGGCTCCCAAGGGCACGGCGGCTCACTGGCTCTAACACCCGTCCTCTGACCCACAGTCTCAAGTTCGAGTCCCGCGATGAGGACCTGTGTGTACGTGGCGTGAGGTGTAGGGCGTAGAGTCATGTAGACATAGGATAATTGCTGTGTGTACATACTATGAGGTTTTCTCTGTACATTCAGATATGGTGTACGTACTGTGATACATCGTGTGCACATGGTGAGAAACTGTGCGTAAGGTGGTAGGCTTTGTGTACGTGATAGGAGGTGTGTACGTACAGCAGCAAGTCGTGTGTGATTGACCGTAGGTAACATGTGCACCGTTGTAGTGTGTGTGTGTGTGTGTGTGTCCAAGGCTTGAGGCTGTGTCAACAGAGACGCGCTCCCGCTTCTCTCTCTGTCTCTCACACACACAGAGAGGTCCAGGACACTCAGCCATTCATGTCATACCTTCCTCAAACAGTCCGTGAGAGAGAGAGAGAGCCAAGGCACCTCTCTCAGGACCCGGGAGAGGAGGAGCCCCCTGAAGAAGGTCGTGGGTCATTTCCCTCGTCATCAGAAGGAAAAGTTCCCCATGAAGCAGGAGAGACCCCACCCAGGTGACCAAGTTCCCACTCACAGCCCCTTACTGCCGCCAGGGGGAGAGGGGAGAGGATGAGGGGAGAGGATGAGGGGAGAGGGGAGAGGGAGAGGGGAGAGTAGCGCCGACTCTTCCTCTCAGTTTTTCCTAGAGATAATTCATGCTACATCTGTCTTTCACTCGTCATTTAGTTGCTTTCTGTTTCCTCTCACCACCATACACCTGTTGCGTCACCACACACACCTGTTGCGTCACCACCATACACCTATTGCGTCACCACCACACACCTGTTGCGTCACCACCATACACCTGTTGCGTCACCACTATTGCTGTGTTCAGCCCTTCACCATCATGACAAAACACCTGTCATTTTCTCATCACCACTACACCTGTTGCTACATATCCCCTCTTAACCACACACAGGTACCATACCACTCACACTTGTAACACCAGTCAGGTACCATTACACTGGAAGACATTGAACACCTGTCTGTCAGTCATTAACAGATGCACGAGACCAAGGAAAGCAAGACCTTGAACACCTGCCTTTGGTAATAACACCCATATGCATACAAAATAAAACCATATGTATTATATACTATATCAAGGGAGTTATATCATTATACTTGGGTAGTCATCATACTCATGGGGCTAAGTCATCATACTCAAGGGGTTAAGTCATCATACTCAAGGGGTTAAGTCATCATACTCAAGGGGTTAAGTCATCATACTCAAGGGGTTAAGTCATCATACTCAAGGGGTTAAGTCATCATACTCAAGGGATTAAGTCACCATACTCAAGGGGTTAAGTCATCATACTCAAGGGGTTAAGTCATCATACTCAAGGGGTAAAGTCACCATACTCAAGGGGTTAAGTCACCATACTCAAGGGGTTAAGTCATCATACTCATGGGGTTAAATCATCATACTCAAGGGGGTTAAGTCATGGGTTAAGAATATCATACTCAAGGGGTTGATCATCATACTCAAGGGTTAGAGTCATCATACTCAAGGGGTTAAGTCACCATACTCAAGGGGTTAAGTCATCATACTCATGGGGCTAAGTCATCATACTCAAGGGGTTAAGTCATCATACTCAAGGGGTTAAGTCATCATACTCAAGGGGTTAAGTCATCATACTCAAGGGGTTAAGTCATCATACTCAAGGGGTTAAGTCATCATACTCAAGGGATTAAGTCACCATACTCAAGGGGTTAAGTCATCATACTCAAGGGGTTAAGTCATCATACTCAAGGGGTAAAGTCACCATACTCAAGGGGTTAAGTCACCATACTCAAGGGGTTAAGTCATCATACTCATGGGGTTAAATCATCATACTCAAGGGGTGGGGGAAGGAGAGAGAGGGATTAGGGCCGGGTTATGTAAATTACAAAGAAAGAAAACCGAAGAAAAATATCGGTACCTCCAGAAAAGTAAAAATATCGGTACCTCCAGAAAATTAAAAATATTTGAGGTTTAGAGGAGTGATGAAAGTGACATGGCCGACTGGGACACACGGTGGATGGGATCTAAGGTGAAATATTTGGCGGGTAAACACAAGGAGAATGACGGTGTGTGGTGAAGAAGAACCATAACAACAACAGCGATAAATACAATAACAAAAGCACCAACAAATACAATAACAAACACAACAAAAGCAATAAGAACAACTACAATAACAAAAACAGCAACAACAAGGAGTCTTATATTTGGTTGGTAAAGACAAGAAGACTGACAGTGAGGAGAAAGAGTTGATGAAGAAGAAGAAGAAACAAAGAAGAAGAATGTCAAATATTTAGATGGTAAACACATGAAGAAGAGGAAGAGAAGAAGAGATGGAGGAGAAGATGAGAGGAGGAGAAGAAATGAAAGAGAAGATGAAGAAGAGGAGGGGGAGAAGAGGAAAAGGAGAAGAGGAGAAGAAGAAAACACACAAAACTAACAGACTATGGACACTTGGAAGAGAGAATTAATGTAGAGGAAACTACTTAAAGGGCTGGAATGGAAGAGGGGAGGGGGAGGGAAGGGGAATGGGTACTAGTCTGTCTGTCTCTCTCTTTCGATCCTTCTGTAAATTTCTTTCTCTCTCCCTTTTCTCATTTTGTTTACCTTTTCGTTTCTTATCTCTCTCTCTCTCTCTCTCTCTCTCTAAGGGGTGCCTGCTAGTTAGTGTGTTTTGTTGGGTGGTGGGAGTCAGAGTGTGTGGGGGAGGGGGCGTGGGTGTGTTTGTATCATTAGTTAAACACACACACACACACACACACACACACACATTCCTCGGACCCTTAACAATTATGCAGAAAGCACATTTAGGTCGTTAGGTTTGAGGAGCTACGGTTAGGTTAGGTTAGGTTAGGTTAGGTTAGGTTAGGTTACAAGAAGATGAGGTTAAGAGTATCTTAGGGTAGAGGTTGGGTACGTTTGGTTAGGTTAAATTAAAGTAAAGTTTGGTTGGATTAAGTTAAAGGTGAGTTAGGTTAAAGCTAGTTTAGATTAAAGGTAAGGTAGGTTAGGTTAGGTACATTAAGTTAGGTTAGGTTAGGTTAAGGATTAATGACCGGATTTTAACACAAGCTAATCCTTTGAAACTTAGAAATGGACACTTAAGAGGAAAACACTGGCCAGTTACCTGTAATTAAACCCTTTCCCTGAATAGCCTTAGAAGACACTCACCTGACTCTGACACTCATCTGACACACACCTGACTCTGACACTCACTTGACACTCACCTGACACACACCGGACTCTGACACTCACCTGACTCTGACACTCACTTGACACACACACGGACTCTGACACTCTAACTTGACACTCACCTGACTCTGACACTCATCTGACACACACCTGACTCTGACACTCACTTGACACTCACCTGACTCTGACACTCACCTAACACAGCCTTGGGTAAAACTGGATCCTAAATGCCAGTGTGGTATCAACAGTGAACCTTTCAACTGATGCTAAAACAGGTACAGAAATCCTCGTGGGTTGTGGTGAGGGGGGGGGGGGTGTGAATACCTGTGTATCTCCTCAACACACCTGGTGAATGTTTAAGCTTATTGACTCGCTACAAACGTCTTCATCACACGCACACACACACGACCTCCATCCCTAAAGCAGATGTACAAGGCTGTGTGTGGTTCATTACAGCAGAGGTTTATGATACAGTACTACAAGTCACCCGGGAACTCATATGGCCTACAGCTGGAATGATCAAGTAGTCGTCTTTCCTGTCTCAGCGGTGTACAGTCACTGAATAAAAACTATCAATACAAAATTGTGTTGAGAAAATATGACGCAACGGACGAAGGATTTTGACAACCCTACCGAGACAACAAGAGTCGTAGTGTTCATTGTGGAATTCATCGATCACCCCAAGTACAGATAGTTTTGAGTGACACGTAAAGAAAGGCTGTCCCCCTCAACGATGCCAAGGTAAAAATGTTCCGGATCACCTGAAGAATCGTCACCCCAGCACCGCTCTTGGGTACTGCTTCGTCAGGTGAGCCAATGTTACCATATAAGTCCTATATTTTGATACTAACCTTGTAATAGACTTTGTTCACGAGTTTAAACACCTGAATTGATCGAGAGAGAGAGAGAGAGATTTAAAAAAGTTTCCCATGTAATTATCTTTCATAAAAATGACTAAACTTTTAAGCGGAAAATTGGACGCCATTAAAAATCTGACTGCGTTTAGTCAACCCACCTCCCCTGACCTGACTCAACCCACCTCTCCTGACCTGACTCAACCCACCTCTCCTGACCTGACTCAACCCACCTCCCCTGACCTGACTCAACCCACCTCTCCTGACCTGACTCAACCCACCACCCACCTCCCCTGACCTGGTTAAGTTAGGTTATTAAGATATCTTTGTAGACCGCACGCAACAGTAACACCGAAGATTAAGTTAGGTGAGGTAGGTTAAGTTAGGTGAGGTAGGTGGTCGTGTGTGTAGGGAAGGTAAGTTAGGTTACGGTAAATAGGCTTAGGTGAGGCTGGTTAGTGTACACATTAAGTGATGCACAGAGCTACCCACCCACATGACGGGCAACATCAGTGTGTGTGTGGAGGATACACACACATGACGTCCTATACTCCACAGGCTATTGATAAAAGGATGATATATATACTAACACTCGGAACTATATACTGTATATATAGTTTCGAGTGTTAGAATTACAATTTTAGATCAGAGTTAAAATATAAACATATACAAGGTCCGTAATAAGAACAATACAGCAAATATATCACACAATATTTTCCTTTCAAACTGATAAAGTATTTTTAATCCCACAGAAAATATACATCAAAAAATAATTCAATCTTCTTTCCAATTCGGTGTTAATTTGTTTCATTTTATTTCGTTTCTGTTGGGACAGACGCGAACACATCACTCACACTCACTGTGCGGGTCCTCGTGAGATAAATGTGTTAAGTAATATATTATTTCATCCAACGTGCAGGTGGTGTCAGTTCAGCTCACACAAAGGTTATGATGCCAGTGATGCAACGATACAGCGGAGAGGCATTAGTTATGCAATTGGCAGGCAGGAGGGCTGGAGGCGTCAAGCTATAACTCGAGGCAAACAAATGAAATATAACCATCGTTTACATTTTTTTTACGCGCTGTTTGGGTTTTCCAGTGAGTGGGTGAGCGTGTACACCACCGCCCCTCCTCAACACACCTTTCTAATGACTGATTAAATCACGATATTTTGCACCCGTAATAAATACTGCGCGGGTCACTTGATACCCGGTACACTTGCCAACACAGTAACACACCTGGAACACGTCGGGGATACAGCTCTCCAGGAGGGGATAAATTCTTGACAATGAGGAAACTCAACACAACACACGCAACAATGGGCAGGGAGAGGGACAAAGTACTACCTCCCACCGCCGCGTCCCAGTAGAAACTGAGGCGGTGGTGGAGGTGGACGGAGTCGGACGTGTGAGGGAGGAGGGAGAACGCGTTGGGGATGGTGGAGGGGGGGAGGGGACCCCATTCCCAGTGGTTCGTTCACGCTGAACGTTCCTCTGAGGGAATTGTGAGAGTTTGTGCACAAGGGGAACGCTATACACTCCAACTTAATTATGTAGGTTTCCTGGGTGACGATGAAAGGATAATCTGGTTCAAGTGACGGGCTTAACCGGTCTGATAATGACTTTACTGCCTCGTGCATGAGTCTGTGCTTGATGGGGTGCTGAGTGGCAGGGTGGGGAGCCTTTGTTAGGACAGAGAGGGAAACAGCCGGCCACCAGGATTAATCCCCGGCCTCACAGAGTTCTCTCAACTGAGCCCAAGAGAGTATCAACAAACAGTTACGGAGACCAATAAGAACCGACTATCTCAGCCAAGTACTCCAGGTTATAAGAGAACTGTTATCGAGGTTTCCAGTGAAATCATTTCCCTCCGCTCACCTCCCTGTCTCCTGGGACAACACGAAGCATTTTGGGAGAGACGAAGAGCAGCGGTACTACAGTGATCCGTCAGGGGGTGGACAAGCCAGTTCCCACCACCAGTGTTGCCACACATCGGGAAACACCTTTATCGTGCGTTCTCTCTTCACTTGATATCTTATCGTCCAACAGCAGATAAATTCCCCCCCACCCGCGTCACCTTGGCAGTAAAGGACCCGAGGGCTTCCCTGAGATAAACATTAGGTCGATGGAGGGAATTCTACGCTTTCAAGGTTTTTTTTTTACCTGAGGCGCAACATCCTAAGACAGAGACATTAATCCAAGGGTGTATGGTAAATGAAAGAGACGGTGGGGTGTGGCGACCATCACAGCTCTCCACTAACTGGCTGATCTCCCACCCTGCCGCCGCCGCCTCCAAGCTGCCGCTCCGGCCTGGCCTGACACCACCAACAATTTGTTCTGCTTTATTTATCACCACTCCGAGGAGGTGTTGCTAGAGCCAATGCCTGTGGTTAATTTTTAGAGAATTACCGACTGATCTGTACCGACTAATTTTTATAAGGTGGAGACGTGTTGTGGTGGGGGTGGGCCGTGTTGGAAAGGGAGAGAGAAGGGCAGGCAACTGTGGGTCACACATGTAGGTGCTCGGGTGGGAGTGAGGCAGCCTGCAGCACGCACAGTAATCCTATCTCGCCGTTTTTCCGTTTTGCTTGGCCGGCGTGTTTCACCTCCTGATTTAACATAATAAACATACACTTTCTCTCACAACATAACCGAAATAGAGAGAAAATAGAAGGAAATTCATAATGGTAATCAGTATTTAGTCGCCTGATGCAAAAACTTGTGAGATAAGGTTAAGGATCACGCACCTAGGTTGCTCTACAGCCAGTAATAACAGGAAGGAGCTTCAACTACACAACCTTACATGAACACAAACCGCAGCTTCAGGCTTCACTAACCCCGTAATTTCATCCCAGGGAGGAACCGGCAAGTCACTGTCACAGCCGACCTAATGATCTCTTCCAACACTAATGTTTAACTCTGATATGAAAGACAAGTTTGATAGAAGTTAACTCTCCCTGACACAACACACTCGCTGGTGGGTGACTTGAGTGCGTTCCTGACACAACACACTAGCTGGTAGGTGACTTGAGTGCGTTCCTGACACAACACACTAGCTGGTAGGTGACTTGAGTGCGTTACTGATAAACAAAATAATACACAATTGCATCTTAGAATTTTACTTGGTGTTGAATCCTCAAAAATTTGTCCCTTGGTTGGTGGTAAAAATAAGATTCTACATTAATTAAACGTTTTCACTTAGTAACAGTTAAAAGACAACATTAACGTAAAGAATATTTTGGAGTTAGAGTCAGTTAAATATGTGAGGGAGGAGAGGATGGAAGAGGGAGGGAAGGTGAGAGGAAGGTAAGGGGGGTTGGGAAGAGGAAGGAGGGAAGGTGAGAGGAAGGTAAGGGGGTGATAATACCGGTGTTATGCAGTTACAGAAGAACACACAGACGGCCAGTGTTACCTGTCCTCCTAGTAACCCTTCCCACAGGATGGAGATTAGATAGATAGATAGAGGGATAGATAGATAGATAGAGGGATAGATAGATAGATAGAGGGATAGATAGATAGATAGAGGGATAGAGGGATAGGCAATCAGGATAAAGCAGACAGATAATTAAATATGACGCATGAATAAACAGATAGACAGCCAGCAAGAGAGACAGACAGGTAGATAGTTATAGGGAGTAGCAGATTGACAGAGGTAGATGGATAAAGAGACAGATAGATTAAGAAGCAGACAGATATATGAACAGACAGACAGACAGACAGATGAAGGCTGCGGGGAGGGAGACGACGACCCAGAAAATTAACTACGTCAGGATATATTACACGCTGGTTGGTCACTTGGGACGAACCTAGTCCTAATGGGCCCTAGTCCTGATGGGCCCTAGTCCTGATGGGCCCTAGTCCTGATGGGCCTTAGTCCTGATGGGCCCTAGTCCTGATGGGCCCTAGTCCTGATGGGCCCTAGTCCTGATGGGCCTTAGTCCTGATGGGCCTTAGTCCTGATGGGCCCTAGTCCTGATGGGCCCTAGTCCTGATGGGCCCTCGTCCTGATGGGCCCTCGTCCTGATGGGCCCTCGTCCTGATGGGTCCTAGTCCTGATGGGTCCTAGTCCTGATGGGTCCTAGTCCTGATGGGCCCTAGTCCTGATGGGCCCTCGTCCTGATGGGCCCTCGTCCTGATGGGCCCTCACAAGACTTCACCTTATGAACTCTTGAACTTTTACCCTCAGGCACATCGTTTAAAGGTCTGGCAGTAGAGGGTCACACACACACACATACACACACACACACACACACACACACACACACACACACACACACACACACACACACACACACACACACACACGTACGTTTATCATCAAGTAGGTAAACAGTGTTAGATGGAGACAGGACTGGTCTTGTCCCGGGTGTGTCCTCGGGTCAGCTCGTACTGTCGGTCGAGGTGATGTCTGGGCCTTAGTGTGTGGTGGCTGAGTGGATATAGCGCTCGTCTCCTGTATCAAGGGTCGTTGGTTTGATTCCGAGGCACTTTCACTTTTAATGTTACATACTTTACAGTGAGTAGAACAGAATTTAACTTGTATTAGTTCTGAGATGCACGAGTAGCCATAAAAAGACGACGAACCCGCCATGGTGGCTATAATAAAGACGACGAACCCGCCATGGTGGCTGTAATAAAGACGACGAACCCGCCATGGTGGCTATAATAAAGACGACGAACCCGCCATGGTGGCTATAATAAAGACGACGAACCCGCCATGGTGGCTATAATAAAGACGACGAACCCGCCATGGTGGCTGTAATAAAGACGACGAACCCGCCATGGCTATAATAAAGACGACGAACCCGCCATGGTGGCTGTAATAAAGACGACGAACCCGCCATCGGCTATAATAAAGACGACGAACCCGCCATGGTGGGTAATAAAGACGACAGACCCGCCATCGTGGCTATAATAAAGACGACGAACCCGCCATCGTGGCTATAATAAAGACGACGAACCCGCCATGGTGGCTATAATAAAGACGACGAACCCGCCATGGTGGCTATAATAAAGACGACGAACCCGCCATGGTGGCATAATAAAGACGACGAACCCGCCATCGATGGCATAATAAAGACGACGAACCCGCCATGGTGGCTGTAATAAAGACGACGAACCCGCCATCGTGGCTATAATAAAGACGACGACCCGCCATGGTGGCTGTAATAAAGACGACGAACCCGCCATGGTGGCTATAATAAAGACGACGAACCCGCCGGTGGCTGTAATAAAGACGACGAACCCGCCATGGTGGCGTAATAAAGACGACGAACCCGCCATGGTAATAAAAGACGACGAACCCGCCATCGTGGCTATAATAAGACGACGAACCCGCCATGGTGGCTGCAATAAAGACGACGAACCCGCCCTATAATAAAGACGACGAACCCGCCATGGTGGCTGTAATAAAGACGACGAACCCGCCATGGTGGCTGTAAAGACGACGAACCCGCCATCGTGGTGGCAAAGACGACGAACCCGCCATGGTGGCTGTAATAAAGACGACGAAACCCGCCATGGTGGCTGTAATAAACCCGCCACGACAGACCCGCCATGGTGGCTGTAATAAAGACGACAGACCCGCCATGGTGGCTGTAATAAAGACGACGAACCCGCCATGGTGGCTGTAATGAACGACGAACCCGCCATGGTGGCTATAATAAAGACGACGAACCCGCCATCGTGGCTATAATAAAGACGACGAACCCGCCATCGTGGCTATAATAAAGACGACGAACCCGCCATCGTGGCTATAATAAAGACGACGAACCCGCCATCGTGGCTATAATAAAGACGACGAACCCGCCATCGTGGCTATAATAAAGACGACGAACCCGCCATCGTGGCTATAATAAAGACGACGAACCCGCCATCGTGGCTGTAATAAAGACGACGAACCCGCCATCGTGGCTATAATAAAGACGACGAACCCGCCATCGTGGCTATAATAAAGACGACGAACCCGCCATCGTGGCTATAATAAAGACGACGAACCCGCCATCGTGGCTATAATAAAGACGACGAACCCGCCATGGTGGCTGTAATAAAGACGACGAACCCGCCGGTGGCTGTAATAAAGACGACGAACCCCGCCGGTGGCTGCAATAAAGACGACGAACCCGCCATCGTGGCTATAATAAAGACGACGAACCCGCCATCGTGGCTATAATAAAGACGACGGCCATCTGCTATAATAACGAGACCCGCCACGAACCCGCCATCGTGGCTGTAATAAAGACGACAACCCGCCATCGTGGTAATAAAGACGACGAACCCGCCATCGTGGCTGTAATAAAGACGACGACCCGCCATAATAAAGACGACGAACCCGCCATCGTGGCTATAATAAAGACGACGAACCCGCCATCGTGGCTATAATAAAGACGACGAA